GGGGGGGGGGGATCCCTCTTACCGGACTCCGAAGGGCTGTGCTCACCAGCTCTCGGCAGGGCAGAGAACGGCTTTATAGCTTTCAGATGGTCAGCTCCACCTCCCCTCCCGGCAGCTGCCCCCACCTCCAGCCTAGGTCAAAGTCCTGGCCAACACAAAGGCTGAGGGCGTAGGGGACCAAAAGGGCAGGGACAACCTGGAGGTCAGGCCACAGGAAGCCCCCCCACCCCCTTTCTGACAATCCATCCCCGAGGGAGACGGGCTCGGTGGATACTGTGGGCAGTTTGGGTGTTCTGAGTGGGGTCTGAGATGGGAAGTGAGGGTAAAGTTGGGGTGAGTGGTCACTGTGGGTTTGAGTGGGGAGGGATGCTGCTGCTCCCCAATCTGTATATCATCAATTGAGGAGCCATGGAGTCCATCGGGGGTAGGGCTCAGAACCTAGGTGCTTGCTGCCTGTTCCCTGTGGGTGCTGCTTCTTCTACCAGGCTCTCTGTTCACTCCAAGGATGGGTGGGTGGGGCAGAGAGGTGGGCAGCACACACACACACACACACACACACACACACACACACACACACACACAGAGATTTTTCTTTATTCTTGACTCAAATGGCGAAGGTGGGAGGTGGTCACTCTAATCCAGGTCCTTGGGTCCACAGAGGAGCTGGGGACACAGGCTGTGAGCCTTGTCCAGCAGGGTGTCCTTGGAGCTTCGGAACCACGCCCGGGTGCGGGTGCCCAGCCCTCGCAGGTGGTCATCATAGTAGGTCTGCACAAACCCCTGGAAGCCCTCGGGGCTCCTGCAAGGAAAGGCGTGTCCCCAGCCAAGGCTCCGCTGCCCCTCAAAATTCTGCCCCAGCAGCTATAGGGCTGCCACCCTGATATCTCTGCTTCCAACTCTCACTCCTCTCAGCCCCCAGCCCCTCCTCCCTCAGACCCAGGGACCCAGCCCCAGCCCCTCTTCCCTCAGGCCCAGGGACCCAGCCCCCAGCCCCTCCTCCCTCAGGCCCAGGGACCCAGCCCCCAGCCCCTCCTGCTCACCAGAAGGACTCCCACTTGTTTCTGGTCTTCGTCATCAACTCTTTCAGTTTGCTCTGCATCTGGCTCAAGCGATTCCCCTCCTGCCTGGGGGCCAGAGGGTCCAGGGTCCCCTCAGGGTCTTCATCCTGGCCCACTAGGGGAGCAAAGGGCTTGGATGGGCCAGGGCCCAGAGCACCTCCCTTCCCCTCCCTTTCCCTCCGCCTGGGCTCACTGTCACTGTCAGTCAGCCCCTGGCCCGTGTCCTCACCATCTGCCTCAACCCTTTCTCCCCCCTGACCACTGACCCATCACTGTGAGTCAACTCCCCTCATCCTCTGCACCCCCCACAACCTCTCACCCCTGTGTCTGTGGCAGCTTGTAGCACCTCCTCTCCACCTCCTTAAACTTCAACAGCTCCCTCCGCTCTCTGTGCTTCTCAGAACCCCCACATTCCCTGTCCTGCCTCGGCCCATGGGAGAAGCCTGGGAGGACTTCCGGTCCCTCGTACGGCCAGTCCCTCCTGGAAGGCCAGAGTTTCTGCCTGGACCACAGCTGACTTCCAGGCATGGGCCCCACCTGGACTGTGGCTCATTTGCTGTCAAGTTGATTCTGAAGCCTTGTGTCCGGGGCAGAACTGCTTCCAAGCGTCTGTCTTCAGAAGCAGGTCCCTGGTCTAGCTTCTGATACACTTCTGGGTGGATTTGAACCGCCAACCTTTCGGCCAGTCATCCAGCTCCTAACCATGTCCAGCACCCAGGGCCTCATCCCTTAGAGTGGCGTCCCTTACTGGGTCACCGTGAGAAGTCAGAGTTCAATACGGACAAAGGCGCTTCAACATACTTGTGGACAAGTGGAACTGGGCAGACAGTGGCATTTCCCTGCCAACTTTTTGAAGCCCCCTCCTATAAGGCACTTGGAATGGTGCCTGGAATATTGTCAGGGCCTCTGTTAATATAGGAGAGGAGGCCTGCTGCTATCTGCAAGGTCAACGATTTGAAACCATCTGCCACTCCGCAGTAGAAAGGAGTTTTCTACTCCTGTAAAGAGTTCATCTGGGCGACCCACGGGGGGCCGTCCTACCCTGTCCTATAGGGTCCTTCTGAGTCGGCATGGACTGGATGGCGGTGAGTTTTGAAATCGATACATGTTCCAAGGAGTGCCGGTGCACAGTGGTGAACTAAGCGCTGCTGACAGGTCAGAGGTTCGAACCCACCAGCAGGAGAAAAAGACCAGGCAGCCTGCTTCCGGCATGTGGCCGGCCTCGGCGACCCGATGGGGCAGTTCGCCTCGCCCTGAGGGCTTGCTAGGAGTTATCGTGGACCTGAAGGCAAGGGGTTTGTTTGGACGTCTGTTCAATAAAACATTGGTGAAGCTGAGAACCCGACGTGTTAAACCTGACATCTCTGTGTTGACCCATTTTACATTTTATGCACACGGAGGGATCCGCATTTGAGTGACACACGTGCCCCACGCCCCTACACCTGCATCCACACAGAGCTACATGAAGGGGCTTCCTGCGGAAACCCCTTCTCTCCCATCCCACTGCACCCAGGAGGGTGGCACTCACGCCGTTGAACACCTGTGTGGGGTCAAAGCATAGCTACATACGCTCCTGCTTGTACATGAACACATGCATGTACAAGCCGTATCATACCGCCCCCCCCCACGTCTGCAAACACCCACCCCATTCTGCCAGGCTCTGGGGGGTGCCCCCACACCACCCCCTCACCCCTCCTCACCCACAGTGCAGGCCAGGACCAGAAGACAGAAGCACAGTAGGACCCGGGGGACTGACATTTCAGGGGGCTCCTCTGTCCCTCTGCGCTCAGCGATCTGGGCCTGGGCAGGGGGAGGGGGCACTGAGTAGGGCCCTCCCCTCGCTGCCTCCCCACGCCCCTTGGCACAGACTCAGGGGACAGGGACAACCAGAGGCCCTGGCTGGCCCAGTGAGTGACCTCTCTCCTTTCCCTTCTGATAGGAAAAGAAGAGAGGGGCTCAATTGGGTTCAACTTCTGCCTCCCCACCGCCCTCGGGTCATGTGACAGCTCTTCTCTCTGGGTCTCACTCTCCTGCTTTGCTAAGTATGTTGGGCCCCAACCCCAGACTTCGGGACACTGATTGATTGACGCGAGAAAGCAACGTCAGCTTTGCGGGTTGCTGTGGTGAAACTCTACCAGGGACTTGGGAAAGCTTGTTTGGGAGGTTGGTGGAGAAATGGAATGGAGAGATCATAGCTTCACCCACCCCCCACCCCCAAGAACTTTTGGAGCCCTGATGGCGCTGTGGGTTATGCACCGATGGCTGCAAACCATCAGGTCTATAGTTCGAATCCCACCAGCTGTTCTGAGGGTGGAAAATGAGGCTTTCTGTTCTCATCAAGACTGACAGCCAAAGAAACCCGCAGGGGCCGTTCCCCGTGTCCTACAGGGTCATTATGGGTCAGCATCGACTCCACGGCAGGGAGTTGAGATTTGGGTTTTGAAGCTCCGTCAGACACACGGGTATAACTGGACCAGAAGACCAGACAGAGCCCAGTTCCCACTACCACCACATGTGGGCCCTGAGTGAAAGGAGGTGGGGGGGGAATTGTGGAACAGAAACTCACATTCCTAACAAACAAGCAAGCCAGCCGAGACAGACCCATGGGACTGGTTGAGATGCCCTGAGATTATTGCTGGGACCCGCTTCCAACCTTGAAACAAGACTAACCTTGGGGCTAGGTAGCAAACTGGAGGGGAAAGAACGAAGAAGAACCATCGCCATGAGTAAGTATCCAAACTCAGCCCTTACTGCCATCGAGCCCAGAGAGACCCAGAGACCTGTGGGGACAGGACAGGGTCGAACTGCACCCATGGGTTTCCAAGACCGTTACTCCGGACCGGAATAGAAAGCCTCCTCTTTCTCCTCACAGTGGCTGGTGGGTTCAAACTGCTGACCTTGTGGTTAGCAGCCCAATGCGTAACTACTATGCTATCAGGGCTCCTCATGAAAAAGAACTTAGAGCCTTTAAAATAGCCTCTATGTTAGTCTGGGTTGACTGGAAAAACAAATTCTTAGACACTCGTGTGTAATAGAGAGCTTTATATCAAAGAGTAATTGTATATTAAGGAAACATCCCAACCCAGTCCAGATCAAGTCTATACGTCTGATATTAGCCCTTGTGTTAGTCTGGGTCCTTTAGAGAAACAAATCCACAGAAACTCATGTATAAGAGAGAGTTTCATATAAAGGGTAAGTACACATCAAGAAAACTTCCCAACCCACTGCTGCCCAAGCCCACAAGTCCAACATTAGCCCATATGTC